GACCTTATTAAGGCCTCGGACATTCCAAGATGACACAATCATTAAGAACTTTTGGGGGTGTGCCTCCTCCACCTCTTCTTTTCATTTCGAGCTTCAGTCAACATTGGCTTCTTTGATTCCCTTGGAGTATACCTAGTAATAAATAGCAAATAATACGGTAGTTCAAAGAAAGAAGAGTTAAAAGCATACCCCTCATCAGTTTGAAAGCATCCGGGAAGAGCTAAGATGCATTCCTTCGTCAAATTGATGGCCTTGGTGTTAGTAGCTTGGTTTTGGACACTAAGATAGTTATCAAGTCTAACCATCATATCTTTGACCTCATCTAGGTGCATTAGATGGATATTAGGTGGCTGATCTTCCAAGAATTCGACTTTGGTAATAACATCATCAAGATACGCATCCCTAATATCATGGACCACACGTGCTTGATCAAGCTTAACCTTCCTTGGGTCCTTAACCTTGCATGAATTCCCTCTTGGGCAGCCTTCCTCAAAAAATCTGTTGAGATAATGTCTATAGACACCCCTCATAAAGGTAGGCCCGAAAGTATACCCTTGGTCATGTGGTGTAACATCCGGTAGTTTTTCAAGGCAATCTTTTGTGAAGAAAACACCCGGTGCCTTATAGTCAACAATGCTAAGGTTATGTCCAAGCTTGAAAACGGTTGCTCCTTCATCAACCTTCTTAATATGTTTAACTTTGATAATTGGGCTTGAAAAATCCAACGCGGGGTCCATATCAATAATGACTTCATCCGAAAAGATTTTGTCAAAAGCATCAACCTTTCTTTCGGTTTGATCATCATGGTCATTGCCTTCCTCTTGTGTAGTGTAGCCGGATGAAGTATTCGTTGTCTCCTTAGGAAGTTTTCTCTTGCCATACCTCACCGCCTTGATGAGTTTAAAGAAAGGATGTTCCTTTGATGGAGTCTTATTTGGTCTCGGATACTTGTCACTTTCTTCTATAATGGCTTGCTTTCCTTTGTCAATGATTGTTGTTGATGGTTCCCCCACCCCTTCCTTGTTAGAGACCTCTTGAGCTTCATGTTGGGCCTTCTTTTCTTCCCTCTCTTTCATTTCAATCTCGGCTAAGACCTTGCATGTAAAACAATGGTGGCCAAAACATTTGCAATGAAAACAATAGTTAGGGAAAGTTTCATACCTCACATATTGAGTGTGTAACCTCCCATTTGGCAGCCTGATTTGTAGTTTAAGTGGAGGAGGTTTAGAAGCATCCACCTCAATCAAGAACCTTGCAAAGGAAGATCTAGCTTTTTCCAAAGTCACCCTATCCGTAGTAATAGGTGTGCCAACTCTAGAAGCAACTTCACTAATGCATTCTTCATCCCAAATCCTCATAGGTAGATGTGGAAAAAGTAACCATATTGGAACCTTTAGGAACTCTCCATCATCCATTGAGAAATCCTCGGAAAGAGTCTTTAGATGGACAATCTTTCCAAAAAGGTAGTACGGCCCTTCCATAAGAACCTTGGCCCTATCATCATCATTTTGAAATTTAAAGATTACCCAACCCTTATCATGAGATCTCACACGGCAAGGTACTCCCCATTTTTGGACCATTTCATGAATACTCTTTAGTCCGGGAAAACGCCCATCAAAATACGCCATAAGACAATGACCCCAAATTTCAATCATGGAGGAGATCTTTCGGTTAGAAAGGTCAATTACATCCCCTTTTGGTTCAATAAAGTGCAATTTCATACCCTTGTCCGGTTGTCTATTGTCTTTAAAGAGAGACACAAATGAGGGCTTATCCCCGGGTTTCCCCCATTTGGATGCCGCGGCATTAGGTTCCACCGGGACAATGGGTTCTACCGAGGCAATAGCATCAATTTTAGGCACGGTATCAACCGGATTAGGGAGGACCTGTTCAATAACTGTTTGTTGGCAGTCGTCCAACACTTGGAGCGCAAGGGGGTCAACAACATATTCACTAACATTTTCCTCAATCACATCTTCCACAATAACCTCATCTAATTGGTCATCCACCAATACATCATTAGTAACAATAGGGGAGGGTAAAGATGGTACCTCCTCAACACGGGTGGCCTCAATATGTGAAGAATCCGGAGCAATGGAGTTCGGTAGAGTAGCATCCTCGCTAGTCCCACAATCAACACCTTCGGTAGAAGAGGTAGAGCTAACCTTGTCAACATTAGAATCAATTTTGGTGTCAAGAGTTTCCTTTGGAATGTCCTCCTTGTTTTCTCGGCTTGAGCTTGCTACGGCATCATCAATCTCCTTACCTTGATTCTTAATTCGAAGTCGTGATGACGCCTTGGTAGGTCGAGAGCTAGAGGGGGGCTTCTTTTTCTTACCCCCATGATGGAAGGGGAAGCTAGAGGAAAGCCACCCCTCCGAGAGCAAAAGAACCTTCGTCCGTCAAAGAAGTAGGTGACCGTTGGGGAAGATGAGCAAAATGAAAACTTGGCCGATGATGGCGGAAGTTAGTAAAAGTTAATCCCCTCAGCTAGGAGAAGCTAGAACTACCTTCAAAACTGAATTCCAGCCGGAGAAACGCCCTAGGGAGGCGTTGACCTTCCTCGGTGAATAGTGTTTCCGCAGGTGTAAAATGGTGTTTCCAAGCTCAAAAACTTCAAATCCGAGCTCAAATTTTAGGAATAATACAACCCAACCAGAGTAGGAGGTAGTATAACTAAAATCCAAGCTGAAAGGGAAAGAAATCGAGGAGGAAGGAGGTAAGAAATGAGGTATTTCCGCTGAGGAAGAAGCTAAGCCGTGGATGGCCTAGTGAGAGACGCTCTCGACTTCTCAACGGGATCTTACTGGGTCCTTAGTCATTTTGTTGCCTGGCGCTTGTTCCTGACCTTGATTGGTCATGGTCGGGGTCAGTCCGATTGTGGACTAAGTCTTTTCATGCACTCCGGTGTGGATCTGTGATGCTATCTCACCGGCGATTATGATACCCCTAGGGTATACGGGAATATACTCCATCAGTATGACTCCAAAAAGTTTGCCCAAAGCTGATTTAGAATCATGAATAGACTACCAAAGATTAATTCCTAACTTATTTAAACTTATTTAAAATAAAAAAGCAATAGCTTATTGATAATAAAAACTTAGTATAATTTCAATTAATTCTATTTGGCATACAAGCTCTTCAGAGCAATTAATGCTAAAAGCTACAAACTTTTCTCATACGCTACTCTATGAGTATGTTTGGCACAACTAGCTGAAAAAGATACTTTTATGAGCTTTTAAATAACTGTTAACTTTTAGTGACTGAAAAGATCTTAAAGAGAAAAGGTGGTGGCTGTTTGGTAAAAAGCTGACTGTTTGATTTAGTTCGATTTGGTATACAAGCTGTTAGGACTAATTAATACTAAAAGTCACGGGCTTTTTTCAGATGGTACTCCCTGTAACATCTCAAAAAAGATCTTTTAATTTTGAGAAAGGTGTCAAATAGGTCCTCTTACTATTACGAAAATGTCAGTTAAGCCCACCAACTCAAATATCGTCCAATTAAACCCATGAACCTGTAAAAAAAAGTTCAATTTGGCTATTTAACAGGTAACCAGCAGGTTGCCATCTAAATTTACACATATGATGACACATGGCAACATGTGGCGCCACATGGCAACACTGGTACATTATTTTCTTTTTCTTTTTTCCTTTTCCCTTTTTTCTTTTCTCTCGCACCCTCCTGGTTCATCGACTGAGTCTTCCTTCTTCCTTGCGTCAAGAAGGTCAGCTACATGACTCCGATTTGATCCTCGCCAACGACATTTCCGAGCTCGCCGCCACACCACTCGGAGGAAACCTAGTCCTCGCCGCTCCGGACGAACCAGGGAGATGAGCAGTGGATGGATGAATCGGTGGAGAGAACCGAGTCCTCGCAGCTCCAGACGAACCATGATTCTTCGCGAATTGAAACCCCGTTTCTGTTAATATTCACCGGGAGATGAGCATGGTGCAGACGAATTAGGAAGAAGGAAGAAAAGGAAAGAAAGAAACACTGAAAAGGCTTTAAATTGACCATGAATATCTGATTCATTTAAAGCCCCGGACCCTCGGTGAATGAATTGAAGCCCACCTACTTTTCTATTTGCTAGTGCGGCCATTTTTCCAGTGAATGAAGCAGCCAAAATGGAGGAGCTTGAAATTGTTGGGCTGGGGTGGACGAACCAGGGAAAGGGAAAACGAAAAAGAAAAAGAAAGAAAACGCCACGTCACCTGCCACGTATGTAGTTTAACCGAGAACCGGTTATTAGCAGGATAAATTGACGATTTGGCTCATTTTTAATAGTTGATGGGTTTAATTGAACGATATTTGAGTTGGTGGACTTAATTGACATTTTTGTTATAGTAAGGGGACACTTTTCTCTTTAATTTTTGAAAAACTCTTAAAAATTATCATGCCAAACATATAACTAGAAGCTTTTAGAAACTTTTTGAACAGTACGAAAGCTAAAAGCTAAAAAATCTTTTAATTTTTGAAAAGATCATAAAAATTGCCTGCCAAACATAGCGTATGTAGCAACTCAAAAAAAATATTTTATTTTTAAAAAGCACTAAAAACTTTCATGTCAAATATTTAATTAGAAAGATTTTTTTAATAGTACAAAAGCTAGAAGTAGAGAATTAATCCATTATTATCCATATATACCAAAAGAACAATTCAATCAATCCGTTAATTTATTAGTAATTTTTATGTTTGTTATTTCTTCTTTATAGTGTTGTTGAGGGCGGGACGTTCATATGTTGCCACCAAATGAATTAAAGATTAATCAAAGTTGGGTTCTTTGCTTTTCTCCTCGATCGACTACCATGCATATTCATTTCAAAGGAATTGATCTGAGCGAGAATGAATCAGGATTAGCTAGGTTCTTTGCTTTTCTTCTCCGCCACCGTATTCATTACTTGTTCATTTAATACATTTATATTCTCTAGCTCTTTATGTGTGTGGGTATATATATATATAGACATATATGTATGTATATTAGCACATGGATTGTCATGTGTATACGTAATTAAGGATTGAACTTCAATATAATCAAATAAAATCTGTGAACGCTTTTCGATCAATTAAGCTGCGCTGGATCCGATGGCGGCAGTGGACGTGGAGTATGTGAAGGATATAGAGAAGGCGAGAAGGGACCTTCGAGCTCTTATCTACTCCAACACTTGTGCTCCCCTTATGCTTCGTTTGGCGTATGTTCATCTCACCTCTCACGTTTTCCTATTTTCCATTTTATTTACTCTGTATGTATTGTCAAATGCGCCTTTCTACTGTACTACTCCGTATTACATATTGATATGGACTAATTATAATGTTGAAATTGAGTAGTTTAAACATAAACAAATGATGAAAAATACTACGTATAATGCTTTGCACCGATCAAATGTTACTTCTTATATGTAGGACATGCACCTACATAGTTGCATTCACCTCAAAATAATTCCAGCAATTCTATTTTGCCTTTTCTAATCTCAACTCTAAAGCCTTGTTTGGTTCAAAGGAGAGGAGAGAAGGGGAGAGTCAAGGAGGGAAGGGAAGAGAAGGAGAAGGAAGGATTTTGATAAAAATTTATGTTTGGTTGGAGGAAATAGGAGGAAAGGTTTAATGAAAATATTTTCGTAATTTACTTTTATTTGACAGCTTACTTAAAAAAATAGATACATGTCTAACTATTGTGAATATTACTCCTATGGTCATGAGTCATAATTTTATTTTATTTGATTTTTTACTTTTTAATTTTATAATTTTTCATTTTTCAGTTTGGAATTTTTACATTTTTTATTTTTATTTTTTTATTTTTTTATTTTTAATTTTTAAATTTTTTAAAATATAATATTTAAATTTTTTAATTTTTAAAATTTTTTAATTTTTTATTTTTTTATTTTTTTAATCTTTAAATTTTTTAATTTTTTTATTTTTCAAAACTTTTTGTTTTTTACCTTTTTTATATTATAACGTTTTGTTCATTCACGTAGGAGATGGATAGTTTGTGGTTATCAACACGTTTCCTCCGAAATACCCCGATTTGGGGGGTTTCGAATGGGAGGAAGTAGAGGATTTTGAAAGTCTTCCACTTTCCTCCCCTCCCCCCCATATTTCCTTCAACCAAACACACACAAATCCCCCACTTTCCTCCCCTCCCCTCCAAAACCCTCCAACCAAACAGGGCCTAAATTATTTTTGTTTAATCGTAACTATGTGGTTTGTATGCTCCGTACTGTTTTCTAGGGCTGGGCAAACGGGTATAGGAACCGCGGGTCGGGTCCTTAAAAACTTGCGAACCGAACGGTTCTTAAAATTTGAAATAACATGTACCCGGACTGAACCGTTTTAAAATATTATTATAACAAATTCTATCATATTTAATACTCCGTATAATATACTAACAACACATGGAAGATCTTCATATTCTTGTGTCTAGACAAAGACTTTCAATTAAAAAGAGTTTCTAAGTCCATCTAAGCTCCTAAATTATTGTCATCACAAACTTTTATGACAATGACTCTTACTTAATAAAGTATGACATATTTGTTTTATTATCTTACGTTTACTTATATTTTAATATTTAATATGATTTAAATTGTTTTCATAGACAAATATGTAGAGTGACTAGTTTAATTTCTTGTGACTTTATAGTGCTATCTTTTTAGTTTACGAATAATGATTAAAAAAATTAATTTAGGAGGTTGTGTGCTGTTGAATTTATAGATTTGTCGTTAGATATTTTATCAACTAATTTAAAGTGTTGTTATATATTTTTATTTAGAATTTCTACTATATTATGGCTACATTAATACTTAAGTAGTTTGAGAATTTTATAACATACTAGAAACTTTGCTAGCATAGGCGTTTTTTTACAAAAAAAAAAAAGAATCGAGAACTCGAATCGAACCGGTCTGTTTCAAACGGGGCGGGTAAGGTTCGATTCCTGTTTCGAGATTTGGTATACTCGGACCAATCTACCCGTTAAATGGAACCGACGATCCTTGAATTTTAATTAATTACCCAGACCGACCCGGAGCGCGCTCACCCCTAGTGTTTCCCCTAATTAAAACAAAAATAATTGGTTATAATAATACAAATTATACTCGGTGCAGTATAATTTGGGAATTTGGGAATTAAACTAAAAAAGGACCTTTGTGGTAATCAAGTTTGAAATCCTAATAAATCATACAACCCCAAACCGTATGCTAAATCATACAGTATTCCCTAGCCTTAAAATCTAGACCAGATTAATAAGCCTGCCTGCACACGGGATTTGTTTTATAGGTGGCATGACGCAGGGACGTATGATGCCAAAACAAAGACAGGAGGCCCTAATGGATCCATTAGAAACGAAACTGAATACAAGCATAGTGCAAACGCTGGATTGAAAACTGCCATTGATCTTTGCGGTATACATACATATATATGTGTGTGGGGGGGGGGGGGGGGGGGGGGGATTATACGTAGTACGAAGTATGTAGTTATATACTTATATTTGGATTTTCCTCAATTATACTCCCTACTAAATTAAAAACACATACCGGACCCCATGGACCGGTACCGGTACCGGTCAACGATCCGGTTCGATACTAAACAGTACCGGACCGAGCCAGACCGGGCCCAGTCCATCCCTACTAGTATCAGTTATTTTTATTGTTTGTTTGGTTAAAATTCTAAACCTATTCATGACGCTTTTCTAATTACATTTCTGTATGTGGCATCAGAATCAGTAAAAACCAGGCATCCAAAAATTACATATGCCGACCTCTTTCAGGTGACAAATTAAAAATATTCTTGTGCCTTTTTTACTCTTTATATATACAGGGAAAACGTAGTTTCTTTGGTTTGTTCTTGTTTTGGCTTGTTCTTTTATGCAGTACGTATTCACTATTCAGAGCTATGTTTGTTCAAAAAAAATTACTACCTCCCTCCCACTAATTGAGAGATGACAAGATTATTAAAAAAATGGATTTATGTGGTTGATATTGAATTGATAAAGTAAGAATAAAGTAATAGGATTAATCCTATTACTTGTATGAGACAATTTTAATAGGATTTTTCAAAAACAAAAACCGGGACAATCATAGCCGGACGAAGTATTTTCCTTGTCCTACTTATAAATTGGATCAAGTGGAGTATTAAAGTTAGTACTAGTACTTATGATAGGACAAATTTGCTTATTTTAACTTAAGAAGGGCTAATTATTTGTTGTTGGAGGGGAAGACTCTAGAGGTATGTTGTTGAAGGGGAAGGGATGGGAGAGGGAGAAAGCCCCTCTTTATATTTGGGAGTAATAAAATTGGAAGAAGAAGATTTTTGAAGGAATTATAATTAAAATCACTTTGAGATATGACGAAATCAAATCATTGAGCTGATATTCATTTTTAATTTAGCTTAAATTACCATCTTGTTAATTATACTCCAAAACCCTCCAAATTGGGGAACTTAAAAATTAAGCATTTGGATGGTTTTAAAGGGTTACAAAAGCCCTCCAAAACCATCACGTACTTCCAATTTTTTAAACTACCAAACACGAAAAGGAAGACCATTAACCCCCATTAACCTTCCTCTCCCCTCCAAAACCCAATTCTCAAACACACCCTTAGAATTTTGCCGAATTTCCTAAGAAATATGTGCTTAAAGATATTTCTTGTTTTGCTCTGCATAAATAATTTTTAATAATAATTATTTAATATGCAAATCAAATTTGGTAAAATTTTGTAAGATGTAGGAGTGATGTAATCAGTACCTGTCCTAGCTAATTACAGGTTCTATTTTAGAAGTAACACTCCGTACATTAGTATATACGTAGTACGGAGTACTATATATAAATTCACCCGAACAATTTCTCACAATATATTCAGTTATTCTCTCCTATTCGTGCCTTATTTAATTTAAATACTCCAATTACCTCAATAATTACTTGAAAGGACATGCGGAAACTTTTTGGAATCCTAGCCTAGGCACTGTGTGAGCAAATTCACTAATCATGCATGCCCTGCCCTGTGCATGTTTATTGTTTGTGCAGCTTGCAGGGATTGTAGCTGTAGAGATCACGGGAGGTCCCTCCATCGATTTTGTTCCGGGTAGAAAGGCAAGTACACCCACAAATTAATTAAAACAATGGAAAACAAAAGCCAAATGTATGTGGTAGACTTGATTGGGGGCATTACCTGATCAAGCTAACTATTTTTAAGTTCACATTCACAAATTTTATAGAGCTCTATATCACTTGATTAGGGTACACTCGCCGTGATGATCGAGTAGAAGATGTTTTTTATTGAACTTAAATTCTCTAAGTACTCCGTACTAATTAAAAAGAATGTCATATACTACTGTTTTAGGACTCATTGGAATCTCCCGAAGAAGGGCGCCTCCCTGATGCCAAACAAGGTACGTGCCACTTGCTTTATAGTACTCATTAATTAATTTGATACCTCCCAATTATTCTCAAATTTCATACTACAAGTTAATTAGCAATTATGATCGAGGTGGAATATAATAATAACAATAATAAGAATTGAAGAAGAAGAAGAAGAATTAATGATATGGATCGATCGATCGAGTGTTGGCTTATTAATTAAAGCATTATTGTACTTCGTATTTAAGAATGTTCGGAGTCATGTGAATTGTTCTTAATTACTGATATGTGCTACTTTTTCAGGTCAATCTCACCTGAGAGATGTGTTCTATAGGATGGGCTTATCGGACAAGGACATTGTTGCATTGTCTGGAGGACATACATTGGTATACATTTATATATATTTTACATATACACTCTAAATTAACTACGTACATCATTTTCCTTGAGAAATTAGTGAAACTAATTCATTGTCTAGAAATAACAAAATACTTTAAAATTTGTTTTCGGGGTGCTTGATGAAAATATTATACTAGTAGATGAGAGAAATGATGCATTCATGTGTGTATATATGCAGGGAAAAGCACACCGTGAGCGGTCAAGCTTTGATGGCGCATGGACAGATAATCCTTGGAAATTCGACAATTCTTACTTTGTGTACGTACCCATGCCCTACTTAATTTATATACTTCTTCCGTTCTTTTTTAATTGCGACAGTTCACTTTTCACGTTTGACAACGCACAAGTTTGACCATTAATATCCTTCATTCTTTATTAGTAAAAAAATTAAAAAATTCAGATTTTGAAAATTTAAAGTGAGAAGAAATTAACAATATTTCTTAAAAGTTTAAATTATAAAACATTAATAAATAAAATATAGTCAATATAGAATATGTAAATAGTGCAAAAAGTCTAATTTTGCAATTAAAAGAGAACGGAGTTATGTTTATAGTACCAAATAAACTACTAGTATTTGTATTGTTTGATAATTATAACTGGGCGGATTACGTACGCACTTAACCTGCAGGGAGCTTCTTAAAAGGGGAGACTCATCACAGGGAGGCCGCCTATTGAAACTGCACACCGATAAAGCTCTCGTACAAGACCCTAAGTTTTGCAATTTTGTGAAACTCTATGCAAATGTACGTACAACTTAATTTTACCTAATCGTATCATTATTAATTTAGCCAATGGATTTTGAGTCGTTAGTGAATTAATAATATATTCATGATATTAGTATGGATAGTTATAATTTGCGTGTAGTATTCAGAATTAATGAAACTGCTGTAAAAGGGTCTTTTCTTAAAACACGGGAAAAGTGAACATGGAAGGCAAAAACACGGAAAAAATATGGGATTTCTAAGAATACGAATCGGAAACACATCTTCCGAATAGATTAGGGTTAACTATATCCATTCGGAAACACATGTTCCGAAACATTTTTTTACTTTTTTTAATCCATTCGGAAACACATATTCCGAAATATCTTTTTTATACTTTTTTTAATCCATTCGGAAGATGCTTTTCCAAATCAACTTTCTTTAATTTTTTGTTATCCTATTCGGATCATGAAGTTCCAAATGCTACTTTAATTTTTATTTTTATTTTAGTCATACAACTTAAATTGATATAAACCTATTTTTAATTAATAAATAAATTCGACCCAATTTCCCAAATGTGATGTCCGAATTAGTGGGGTTGGCTTTTTATTCATTTGGATTTCCAACTTCCGAATTGGAAGTGGTATTTAAAAAAATAATCAGCTCTCATTCGGAATAGGAAGTTCCGAATCAAAATGTCAGGCACCCTAATTCATTCGGAATTGTGTATTACGAATCCCGTGTTTTAGTACCCTAAAAGGAACTCCCGACTTTTTGCATCGCTTGTTCAAAACCCCCGTCTTTTTGTCATTCCCTCCATATATATACTCCGTATATAATTATTGTGCATGATATGATCAGGACGAAGATGTATTTTTTAATGACTATGCGGAGTCTCACAAAAAGTTGTCGGAGCTGGGCTTCACCGCCCCACCACCGGCCCTTAAATCTTCTAAAAAAGTATTACTCCGAAATGGTAAGACGAACAAAAGAAGAGTGGCAGGGAGAGTTGTTTTTTCTATTGCAGTTGCAGTTGTGATCCTAAGTTACATATACCAGCTGGCTATGTATCAATGGAAAGCTCGACGCCAGTAGATCAGATATTAATTAATTCAAGACAATAAATATCCCATATACGTATAAGTAGTGATCGATCATAGAGTTGTCAAAATCCATTCCTATATATATGTTCGGTATAAATACATTTATATATATATGGTACGTGTAAATACACGTACACTATATATTGTGGTGTGTATGTCAATGCAAACTATTTATGTTTGGTGTAAATGATATTAAGAGATCATATAAATATATATGACTTGAATAATGTGTAAAATATTTTATTGTTTAATGTTTATTGATATAAATGTTACTCCTTATATATTATGTGTAAAAATATGACGCCGTAAAATACGTGTGAAAAATGTGTAAATGTAATCTATCGTTGTATACAAATGAAAAGTGGTGAATTTTATTTGATTTATAATGTTGGAAATCAATAGTGACATATTACGTTGTAAAATGTAAATTTTTTGAATGGATGTGGTTAATGCATAAATGTAGCTACAATGTTGATAAAAATAATGTTACATATATATGTTTCATTTAAAGGTTGTGATAAAAATTTTAATTAAGCTGCGCTAACAAATATGTAAATGTAATGTTGTTTTATATAAGCGATAGAAAATTAAAGGACAATCTTTGATGGAGTTAAAATGTAAATTACGCGATAAAAAGTATTTTCCACAAAGAACATTTTCATATAATTTTTATATTATAAATAATTCTCAATAAAAAATATAATTGGTCAAAGTTTAGAAAATGGAAAAGTTTTTTGGGATAGAGGTAGTATTACATAGTTAATGAATTTCTTATAAACTCTAATAGTACAAAACATAAATAACTAGCAATAACATAGTTAATGAATTTCATATAATACTATTCATTTTTACCGATCCGATTAACTAGCAATTAACAAAGTGCAAATGAGTAATCAAAATAATTAATGGTAATATGATATACATGTATATATAATTATAAAATTATATAAATTAATAAAATTATAATTCGGTTCGGTTCGGTCCGGTACCGGTTCTCATTTTATGAGAACCGGTCATGGTTTGGTTTGGAATCGGTCCGATCCGGTTCCGGACAAAATTTTTGAGAACCGTTTGAAATCTCGTTTTCCGGTCCGGTACCATATCGATCCGGTTCGGTACCATGCCGGTTCGGTTATTTTGCCCACCCCTAATAGAAGATGATAAATTAGTTGAATTGGTTTCAAAATTCACGATAACTAAGACTAAAGACACAAGGTAATGCTATAATGTGAATTGCGCTGCGGACTTCTCAAACATAGTTAAGAACTTGAATTCTTGTATACGAAAGATTTTTAAATTGTAAATTGGTGCATGATGAAGTAGAAAATCCTAGATTGATTGTAACTTCAGTTAATTGAAGGATTTTTGTTTTTCATAAACCCCGCTTGTTCCATAGATATAAGTTTAGGCAAGATGCTATATCCATCTTGTAAGCCAAGACTCTACTCCCCTGAATTGACTTTTCTTGCTCAATTACATCAACTTTGACCAATGATATTTTTTAATACGAAATTATTTTGAATATTATATAGTAAGAAAATTATATCAAATTGTCCTTTATTCAAAATATTTTCATAAAAGTATACAATTTATAAATTATATACAAATATAATAATTAAAATCACTGTCCAATGTTTATCATTATTGACCAAGAAAAGTGAATATTACAAACATTTTTGGGAAGGAGGTAATATAAACTTTGCTTATAAAAGTAGAAAGAGAAATGAGTCTAAAAAAAGTATAAAGTCTATCCACTTTCGGTATTAGACTGTAAGAGAATTAGGCACAGCTAACGGAATCTTGTTGCCCATATTAATTACCCCTTAAAACTTTGTCAATTTTGATCGGTATGGGGATTAATAAAGTAAAAACTGTGTGATAGAGGTTTATGGAGAAAAGAGATAATTAACTGAAACCACAAATTTTTACTCAAAAGGGAAAATGACAAAGTTAGTGGGACATCCAAAAAAGGGAAAGTTAGCAAAGTTTTAATGGACGGAGGGAGTATAAAAAACCACACGCACAAACACACATATACACACATGTGGGAGAGAATTCTAGTGAGAATTGAACCCATCTCAAAATGAAACTTTTTAAAATTAGAAACTTTTTATAACAATCTTTCATTTTATTCAATTATTGGTTAGAATGCATATGAGATCTTTTGTGAAATTATTCAAAATTCAAACGAGGTTTTTTAATTATTGTAAAACTACTACAAAAGTACCACCTTGTTAATTATAACTTTGGATTTGAAATATGAAAGATGATATTAAAAGTTTTCATTTATAAATGAGTTCTCAATTTAAGAGAGAAATAATTATAGATGTTGGATGGAACCATAATTATAGATAGTGGAGGACCCAAGGATTAAAACATTGAATTTTATCAATTTGGGACCTGAAAAATAGACGAATTATCAATCCGAGACCTGAAAGATGAAATGTACCAGTATAAGACTCGAAAGATGAAAAACTATCAATCTAAGACCTAACACTTCATAGGTTTTGATTTATTTAATTTTTATTTAATTCCATTGCTAATATTTAATGAAATTTTCTTCACAAAAGTTTATTAGTTTAATAAAACTAAATATTATTTAAAGTTTTTAAAATAAAAATAATAAGAAAATTTATGAAAACATAGGTCCTAAATTGATAGTTTTCAATCATTTGGGTCCTAGATTGATAGTTTTCCATCATTCGAGTCTTATACCGATACATTTCATCTTTCACGTCCCGAATTGATAGTTCGTCTATCTTTAGGGTCCCGGATTGATAAAATTCATTAAAACATCCTCAAAACTCATGGTGGAGGACCCAATGATTAAAATATCCTCAAAACTCATGGTGGAGGACCCAAAGATTAAAGCATCCTCAAAACTCATGGTGGAGGACCCAAGGATTAAAACATCCTGAAAACTCATGATACAGGACCAAAGGATTAAAACATCCTCAAAACTCATGGTGGAGGACCCAAGGACTATAATGTCCTCAAAACTCATAGGTAAAATGGTGGAGCACCCAAGGACTATAATGTCCTCAAAACTCATAGGTAAAATGGTGGAGGACCCAAAAACTCATAGATAAAATGGTGGAGGACCCAAGGACTATAATGTCCTCAAAACTCATAGGTAAAATGGTGGAGGACCCAAGGACTAAAGCGTCCTCAAAACTCATAGATGATAAATTGTGAATTATGGACTAGGTGAAGTCCTTATAGTAATCGATTTGGTCCAGAAGGAGTTCTATACACTCATAAGTATATGGGTGGGTTGGGATTTGAGTCAAGGATATCGACTACTATTATTTTCTCAGACAAACATAGACCTACGGGTCGGGTATTTCCAAGTGTATATATTATGATATTTATTCCATAACTTGGGGGAAAGGACAATACGTGTATGTATCACCCTATGTTTGGGTCTTATACTTGAAACGTTAGTTACTCTACATTTAGGTTGCTACTCGCTCGGTACTTGTACTGACCCCTTCGGGGGGGGGGGGGGGGGGGGGGCATTTCAGGTTGAAGCTAAGCTTGCTATTCGTACCTTGTTCGGCGGAGTGATATAAAGGAAGACGTGGTTCTTGCTTCCTATATTATTTTCAAATTATAAACTGTGCTCATGGATATTTGATGTAATGAATACATTGTTTTGGGCCTGCGAGCCCCCGTTTTGGCCATGTATGGCCCATTATCGATTATTGAATATTTCCGCTATTCATTAATCTAAATTGTGATGTTGTTATGTATGTTTACTACTGAGTATGGATGGATTATGTTCATGGACGCCTTGTATGATTAAGTCACGTTGTCTTGCGAGTGACATCACTTGGTCATACGGCGGTTGTACACACGCTTAGATGCGGTCTGGGGCGTGACAATCAAGTGGTATCAGAGACATCTCAGTTCTAAACTATGTAATCAACCTCTCACAAGAGATTTTATAAAAGGAGTTTTTACCGAAAACCATGAGCATTGTATTTTGGCGTTTATAGGACTATTGTTACCTAGGTTGCAAGGTCTCTAATTGTTAAGATGGTACTCTTAACAATTGGTATGACAGTGACTTGGGCCAATATGTGTCTATAATGTTTTCCGTCAATTGACAGTGATTGGAGTCTAACGTCTCGTTCGAATTCCTTTTAGAATTGGAGGGTAAATGCATGGCAACGAAAAATGACCCTAGGGGTCAAGCATCGATAGCTTACCTTGAGGCTAGCCGGGACGTGTCACGAGCCTCAAGGGGGAGAAAGGAACGTAGGCATCAGTCTAGGTACGATCGGGCCACCTGCCAACATGATATGACTGTCAGCCAATCCCATCCTTGGGGAAAGGACCAAGGGGTAGGAAGTACTTTGAGGGCATCAACATCAGCGGTGAAAAAGAAAAAGAACTCAAAGTGGCATACGTCCTGGCTTTACACTTTGAGACCATCCAAATGTTCGAATTGCTCAAAGAAATATTTCGGGAAGTGCAATGAGCCCCCGATGTGTTTCGAATTTGGGAACACGACCCATATGAAATTAAACTGTCCATGGAAGAGGCAACGAGAGGCATCGAAAGCTGAGGAAGGGCTCACTGCAGAAAGCAACCATGTGGAACCAACGACAAGCAATGTTACGCTCGTCAACGAAGGCGAGACCCAGGCAAGGGTCTACACGATGACGGAGACAGACGCCTGTGCTAACCCGGACTCCGTGGCGGGTAATTCCTTAAACTTACATTTTTACTCTATGGTATACAACATAGGTGTGGAAATCATGCAAATGTATAACCTCGGCCAACCGAGCCGGTTTTAGAATCAAAAGGTGAGGAGAACACTGACCTGGGCAGAAGCCGCCCAGCTTTCGTCTTGAATTAATTAATAAATACTACGACGCTGAACAGAGGCCGGTAGTTGTGAAACCCAACCAGCCTACGGAGAGGACTTCTTGTGAAATGGAGGGAGCTCACGAAAGGTGCCCGAGCTTGGCAAAATGCCGCTCGGCTGTTGTAATTTAAATTCGGAATAAAACAACTACGGCAACGAACGTCGGCCAGCTTCTGCTGAAGACCAGCCGGCTTTTGGAAATTTAAATTTTCAATTTTTGCGAGGGGACGAACAGTCTTGGAAACTTGGAATTCAATTTTAGTTCAGCGTCGAACGGCTTTTGCGAAGCCTAGCGTTTGTATATTGGGGACAAACGGCTTTTGCAACCGATTGTAAAATTTTCGATTCCAGTAGCTTAACCAGCGCCGGCCTGGGCCTGTGCTAACCCGGACTTCGAGGCAGGTAATTCCTTAAACTTACATTTCCCGGTCTAGAAAAATGTCCCCAACCCATTACGGATGCCCTTTCGCACACCATGCTAAACTGTGGGCAGAGCAGCGACAATGCCTCGCCACATAGCTGATTTAGCATATGTGTGACACTGGCGGAACCCATCCGATTCACAAGTTCATTTTGTTTGTAACACCTGTACCCAAAGATCATTCGGGTTTGTCAAAAATAGAAACCCATGTTTTACCATGTAGGCCTGGTTCAGTTGGCGGGCTGTTCGGAGACTGAGTCCCCCTTCTGGTTTCGGGTGACAAATGTCTGGTTCTGGGCTTCGGTCGTTGTTCGCCAAATAAAATTACGAATACGCAAGTCGATCTCGCTGCAAACATGGTTAGGAAGCACAAAAGTTTGCATAATATAGGAAGGAATAACAGAGAGTACATATTGAGCAAGAGTTACTCGACCAACAAGGGCGAGAGACGAAGCCTTCCAACCTAAGAGTTTTTCAGCCATCAGGTCCAAAACATACTGATAGGTGCTGGTGCAGAAGCGTTGATGAAGGATTGACACCCCTAAATACCGACCCAGATCCTGTATGAGAGGCATTCTCAATTCGGTTGCTATGGAGGTTGCTACGACTCGAGGAACCGTTCTGGAGATGAAAATTGTAGATTTGTCATGGTTTATGCTCTTTCCTGACGCCCCACAGAACCGTTCCAAGATGTCCGAAATGATTCTGGCATCAAATGGCGAGGCCTCCGCAAAAAGTACCAAGTCATCAACAAAGAACATATGGGAGAGTCCAGGGCCATCCGTTGTCAGCCTAATTGGCTTCCAAGATCCCTCCTCTACCGTGACTTCAATGAGGTGGCTGAGACGCTCAATGCAAAGGGTGAAGAGGTATAGGGAGAGTGGACACCCCTGACGAATACCTCGGGACGAAGTGAACTGATTTGTGAGCTCGCCATTCCAACACACATGAAATTTATCAGCTCGAACACAACTCATAATCAATTGAATGGATACCTCAGGTAGGCCGGGTGCAACGAGAGTACTCTCCAAGAAACTTCAGCAGACTCTGTCATATGCCTTAGCAAGATCAATCTTCAGCACCATTCGACGAAATCTATTGCGGTCATGCTCCATGGAGTGGATAACCTCTTGGAGGACGATAATGTTGTTGGTGATGTGCCTGCCAGGGACGAAACTTGATTGGGTAGGATGCACCAGTTTGCGCATATGAGGCCGTAGCCTAGTTGGCAGCACCTTCATCACTAACTTGTACAGAATGCTACAAAGGCTAATAAGACGGGAGTGGGCCATGGTTTCCAGACAGTACTTCTTTGGAATCACCACCAACAATGTATCATTAACCTCGGCAATGGTGTGAGTATGTGTAAAACATCAACGAACGAACCCAAACACATCCTACCCTACCGTATCCCAACATCTCTGGAAAAAGATAGGTTGAAAACCATCCTTATCTCGAGCTTTGTGCCCATCCATATTGAAAAGAACTTTTGTGGCCTCTTCCATATTAGGATTCCGAAAAAGAGAAGATCGGGCAGCGTTATGTAGGGCCAAAAAGCCTGAAGGTAGAGTTGGGATCTCAGCTACCCTCCCTTCGTGAAATAAATTCTGAAAATAATCCCCGGAAATGACCTTAAGTGCAGCGGGATCGTCTACCTAGCGTCCAAGGTCATCCTGTAAAGCCAACACTTTATTGTGAGAGCGACGTTGAAGGGTGAGCATATGAAAATACTTGGTATTCCGGTCCCCGTCAATGATCCATTACGTGCGAGCCTTCTGACGCCGCAACAATGCCTCTTCCCAAATAGTGGTTTCCAACCGTCGTCTCGTCCCCTCTTCTTGAATCTGAGAGGTCATGGTACCCCCACCCCCATTAAGGGCTTCAAGATCACTCAACTGTTGTATGAGACATTTCTTGTGACTTTCTATGCGACCAAAGACATCATGATTCCAAACTCGCAGCTTCCGTTCAAACTGTGCAAGAGTAGTAGTAACGAAGGAGCTAGACCGCCAAGAAGACTGAAGGAGCCTGGGAAAGTCTTCATGTGTAAGCCAAGAAGAAATGAGTCTTCAGGGGTGACCTCGAGCAGGAGGGTCCGAGAAACCCACTGTAGACATAAGGATTGGACGATGATCAGAGCGGACACGGTGGAGGTGCTGTAGAGTGGTGTGGAGGAGGGAGGAGAGCCACGCCTGGGAAACTAGGGCCCTGTTAAGACGCTGACTAAGATTGCGGCGAAACCAAGTGAAAGGAGGTTTTAGAAACCCAAGATCAATGAAGTTACAAATGTCAATGCAACACCTGTAGAAGGTTGCACGGGTTGGATAAAAAAACGGCTCCCACTTGCTTTTCATTTTTGGCCAACACAACATTAAAATCTCCCATTACTGCCCAAGGAAGTAGTTCCACTGTCGCAATGCTAAGAGGGTATCCCATAGTAGAGCATGATCGGTACACTGAGGGCAAGCATAAATAGCTGTGAAAGCCAGACGAGTTCTATCAGCACAAGTAATCCAGGTGTGGATAGATTGATCTGTCATACCCTGATCCTCAACTATGATATCTACGGAGTTCCAGAGCATCCATATATCGCCTGCAAATCCTTGAGCATAAAGTATTAGTCTGTCAGAGAAACCAAGTTGATTAATAACATGCATAGCCACAGTGCCACTAATTCGGGCTTCAACAATGGCAACAATATTGGGACAATAACAGGTTATATAGTCACGAAATGAGGGAATAAACTCTTCATGTTTAGTCCCCCTACAATTCCATGCAAAAAATTTTAACATCATAAAAACGATATAAGGAGAGAGGGCATCTCTGATTAGGCCGAAGTGTCCATCATCCCGAAGGGCACCAAGATGGATGGACTCACGACATTTGTGATCGGTTGGGGAGATTTCTTTAGGGTGACATTAGCTGCTACCTCAGAAGAAGGTGGCGAGGCGCTTAATTATGAGGCACCAAAAGCTCTCGAGGGTAATTGGCCATGTTGCAAGATAGTTAAGGATGGCTGTTCTGCGAGGGGTGCGAATCATAGAGGAGGAACATATCTGAATTGCCTCTGCCATGTCTCCTCGAACACTTGTGGGAATTTTGTATCTGTGGAGATACGAGATGCTGCTTTGCGAGGGCGACCGGGTTTCTTCTCGGGGCCTGTGGATGCCTGCGGATCCAAAGCACATGTGGAAGCCGACGGAGGAGCTTGGTGGACTTCGGGCTTCTAGGTCACTGCCATCAATAATGGGGATGATTGCCAGTTTCTGGAGGTCCTACTATTAGTTTTCTTCCCCTTCTTATCTTTGAGAGGGGGATTTGCATAGAATGAACGATTGTCGGAGTGAGCACTGCTACAGTGGAAGGGGGTGAGGGATTTAGGGCTAGCATCCTCCGGTTCTTGGTGAGAGAGAAAGACAAATCAAGAGCCCGATGAGGGTGATGGACGAGTCTTGACCGGTGGCACAGTCGTCTGTTACGGCTGTCTCCGACGATCCCGGTGGCCCCCTTTCATCCAAATGCCAATATCATCCATTTGTTTCGGGATCAGATCAATTGTTGAAGTGGAAGTATCCTCGATGTCCACAGTCGAGGTCTTACTTGTGCATGAGGCTTCAACATGGCCATACAAGCCACAATGCATGCGCATGTTCTACAAACTCTCGTAACCGATTTGAAACTCATTTCCATCCAGTTCATACTTACCCAACATGGGTTGCGAGAGATCCAATTCAACACATGCACGAGCAAAGCAGGTGCGTTCCCCGGATGCAGTTGCCACATAAACCCGGATGGGTTTACTGACGTAACCAGCGATATGCGTGATAGCCATTTGATTGAAATAGTGCAACGGTGATTCCGGAAGATGTATCCACGAGAGAAGTTTTTTCAGTGGTGCGTGTACATCAAAATATGGTGTCGAGTACATGACTCCTATATAAAAATCAAAAATCTTCCAGGGCCCACCATAAACAGCCAGAAGGTAATCTTCCTTGTTAGAAAATCGAACGGCATAGTAGTGGTTTTTCATGTCCGAGACTTGTATGGTCCCCTGAATCGCCCACAGTGTCTCAAGCCACTTCTTGATAGCTAAGACCGAAAAATTCTGTTCAAAAATCGTGACCACCAAAGCTTTGGACCAAGGTTTGAACAGAGAACACATCTCTTCCGTTGAAAAGGAAACATGGGGGTCGGGCACTTGCAGTTGGATTCCCTTGGAGGAGCTAGTGTAGCCAGAATCGGGAAGGCAACAACTTCCTCATTCTGATGCAAAGTTCCAGGTAGGCTGGTTATAGACCGCCTCTCGGAATGATTTGGGCAAAGGAATTTCTGTACTGGTCGATCGATTGTTGTCATGTGTGGAATTCTAATGCACGTCGATGTCCATCAGAGGGAACTGTGGTCTCTTTGAGGAGCTGGGACTGGAATCAACAGCGGATTCTGGGAGAAATCAAATAGGCTGGCCGGCAGGTCATCTCTAGGGATTACCTCTGACATAGCACTGTAATTCGCTATTCAAATCGCAACCTGGTCATCTTCTCTGCGTGCACTTTGGTAGGACGGAGCTAGATCGATTTGTAACCTTGAACTTGAAAACAATATTTTAGTTAGTATGTAGTACCGGAGTATTATTTTGGAAAAACTTGATATATTTTGCTAAAAATGTAAAAATGAATTTCTAACAACATTATAATTGTGAATAAGGGTTGATACCATTGATTTTTGTCAATACATTACATATGCATAAGAAATTGTACATTACTCTTAAAAAGTAGGACTTTACTTTTCCTCTTGCTTTTTAACCCTTATGCGCGGTTAACAATTTGTTTTCCATTAAATCAACATGCTTTTACGTAGCACCTCAAAAACCTCCAATTAGGTTTAGATTAGATTACTAGAAATGAAAGTACATTCAATCCTTAACAAAGAGTCAAAGACCCTTTGACTCGGTTTACCGTAAGCTACAATTTACCCCATATTTATAAAACTGTAAGCTACACCTTAAATTACAAAGATTTGAAATAATGTTTTTCACAACGAGTATTTTGTTTTTATGTTCTATAGTTATTATGAAATTTTTGTTGTCATATGTGATACTTTGTCTCTTGTATTTGTCCCATTTTATATTTTTTATCCTGTCTCTTTAAGTTTATCTCATATTATATTTAGTGATATTTTAATTTGAGTGATTGCAATTCATTTTTACTTTACCAACACTTTATCAATTCGTTGTCAATCACACAATTTCATTTATTTTAATAAATCTATAACTCCCTTTTGTCTCAATATTAGGTGATAAAAGTAATACTATCCTTGTCCCATTAAGATTGTCTCATACCAAATTTGATAAAATTTGTGTGACCTTATATCATTCTTATTTTATCAATTCAATATAAACAACATTCTCATGTCTCAATTTTAATAGGACGAAGTTTGTAAAATAACTGGTATTATATCAACAACATCCTCATATCAACAATTACCGCACCGCCTTCACGAGAGTGTCTTATTGGGCACTAGCCATCGCTTCTTGCATGACTAAATGCTAGTTATATAGTCCTTTCTTCTCGCAAAATAATACTCCCTCCGTCCCTAATCTTTCTCCCTTTTCGGCTGGGCACATTTATTAAGATAGTGGGATTTGTGTGGTGGAGAGTTGTGCAGAGGAGAGAGAAATGTGTAAGAATGTGTAAGAATGGTTGTGAACCATAAATTTTTTGCTAAAAGGGGGAAGATGAGATAATTTTGGGACGGACGAAAAAGGAAAGTTTGAAGATAATTTAGGGACGGAGGGAGTATCCGATTTACTTTTTGGGTCGTCCAAAAAAATTCTCATTTTCCCATTTAGAATGTTTTGTGTGACTCAGGATCATCTACTTTTTTCTTACCCAACCATGCCCATACACTTTCACTTTATTCCACTTTTCCTAAACTCTGATCTAAGTCAATGCGAGAACTATTTTATGGAAAAAGAGCAATAAATGAGCATCATATAAAAAATGCGAAGGACAATTTTTGGGAAGGTAGGTGCAGTCCAATGGATGAGCATCCACCCCCAAGTCTCTCTTTGTGGGAGGTCTTGGGTTCAATTCCCACCGAGGGAGATCTTGCTCCTAATGATTCTCCCTACCTTCACGGAATTGCTCAACGGGCGAGAAGGGAGAAGTTAGCGGGTTCGTGTGGTGGAAGGAGCAGCCCGAAAGATTATAAAAAAAAAATGGGAAGGAACTCAGAGGAGGCGTATTGTCCCGTTAAACCGACCAGATTCATCATTTTACAGGTGATGCGCACGCAGTACACTAATATACACCACCACACGTAATCTGCTCAACAAGAAGAAGAAGATGGCCGAGCCCAGAGAAAGTGCGGAAGAAATCTCTGCTCCGCTAAGTAAGCTGGATTTGATATGCTTAATTATGTATAAAATACCCGTTAATCTAATTAAGAAGCCGCTATAATTGTGCAGTTGTCAAGTACGGCGGTTCTCCACTAGATGAGGAAAACTCTGCGGTGGAGCAAGTGGCTCTGACGGTTCCCATCACCGACGACCAGACACTGGCCGCGGTGACATTCCGGATGTGGGTCCTTGGGGCGTTGGCCTGCTGCCTTCTCTCCTTCCTCAACCAGTTCTTCTGGTACCGCCGGGAGCCGCTGACGATCAGCTCCATCTCCGCCCAGATCGTGGTGGTTCCGTTGGGGCACCTGATGGCGAAGGTGGTCAGCCGGCGCGTGTTCTTGAAGGGGCGAAAGTGGGAATTCACGCTCAACCCGGGACCGTTCAACGTGAAGGAGCACGTGCTGATCACGATCTTGGCCAACTGTGGCGCCGCCAATCCCTACTCCGTCCACGTCGTCACCGCCGTCAAGGTTTTCTACAAGCGCGCGTTGGGCTTTTGGGTGTCGTTGACCGTGGTTGTGACAACCCAGATCTTGGGCTTCGGATGGGCCGGAATGTTCCGGCGATTCTTGGTGGACCCCGCTTCCATGTGGTGGCCCCAAAATCTCGTCCAAGTATCCCTGTTCAGGGCATTTCATGATGAAGAAGAGAAAAGCAAAGACAGATTAACCAGAAACCAGTTTTTTCTTGCGGCCTTCATGTGCAGCTTTGGTTACTATGTTTTCCCGGGGTACATTTTCCCAATGCTGTCTTCGATTTCATGGGTGTGTTGGGTGTTCCCGGGTTCCGTATTGGCCCAACAGCTTGGTTCTGGGCTAAAAGGCCTAGGCATTGGAGCGGTGGGCCTGGACTGGTCAAGCATCTCGTCTTACATCGGGAGCCCACTGGTGAGCCCATGGTTTGCCACGGTTAACATTGCGGTCGGGTATGTCCTCCTGCTGTATGTCATCACTCCCGTCCTCTACTGGAACAATGTTTACAGCGCCAAGAGTTTCCCCATATTTTCGGATGGACTGTTTAAATCCAACGGCGCAGAGTACAACACATCTGCAATCGTGGATAAGGATTTCCATATTGACTTGGAGGCGTATGCTCGTGAGGGTCATCTTTATCTCAGCACTGTATTTGCCATCACTTATGCCTTCTCTTTCGCATGTCTCACCGCCACTCTTGTTCATGTCATCCTCTTCCATGGAAGGTAAATTTATGCTTATCAGCTTTAGCAACAAGTTCTTTTTTATTACCACATACTCGTTTTCTTTTACTACCTTTTCTAGACGAGTGATAATGAAAATTAATTGGGCTGATTGAACTTAATACATTTTCTTAATTATGAGGATCATTTGGCTTCTATACTTCGTACATTTTCTCTACATTACCCATATATTTTGTTTTTATTTCAGCAATACAAACACACTTTCAAACATTTCAGCCACACCCATCTTTAACAAACTCTCTCTGAAGATTCTACTATTTTCTTCAAATATTTGTTATTATTTTTTATGTGAATCATTTCTAATAATATTAGGATTTTAAATTTTTAGCTTTGTTTCGTTGACTAATCACTACCTCTCATGGTTGTATAAAATAAGCCCTACCAAACGGGGAACTTGATTGTATAAATAGGATAAACTTAACCTGTGTGGTGAAGTGATTTGTATTCTAAATGTGCCGCCTAGGCGTTGCTGACTAAACCTTTGAGGTGTAGAGACATATGGAAGCTCAGCAAGTCTGCCTTCCATGAGAGGAAGATTGATGTTCACACAAAGCTGATGAGAAGATACAAACAAGTTCCGGAGTGGTGGTTCACTTGCATTCTACTTTTGAACATCTCTGCCACTGTGTTTGTATGTGAGTTTTACAAAAGCCAGTTGCAATTGCCATGGTGGGGTGTGTTGCTAGCTTGTGGTATTGCCTTCACATTCACACTTCCTGTCGGCATAATCACGGCCACCACTAACCAAGTAATCCTCCCTGCTATATATTTGTTGCTTTCACTTTTTCTATGAATTCACCTTTGCTACAACAATATTTGCTCCCATAGTTCCATATGCTGTAGTGGACAAAATGTTGTCAAAAAAAATGTATTTGGCTTATGAGACAGACGAATTCTTCAGCACCCCATGACCCCATCGCAGTCATGCACCTAGGCTGTGCAATTTTTCTCTCCTCACTGCACGACTCCTTGGCTATAGTCTTGACCATGCATTTTTTATTAAGGACCTAAATCATGGCTAATGACTTCTCATCTGAGTCTGGACCATTCATTTTTAATAGAGAGCTTACATTATGACTATGGATCAAAGTGTTTCTGAAACTATGTTAGAATTTGTGATTCCATCCTAATAGGTAAGTTGATAGAAGTAGTCTTAGGTCTTTTATTCTGTTTAGCTTAAACATTTATTCTACCTATTAGTAGTTCTCTTAATCTTTTTGTGTGGAATAATTCTCAGACAAAAATAATATGGAGTACTACTTAATGAAATGTTTTGATGGGTGAATGGAAACATTCTCTAAACTTCCTATTGCCCTAATTCATGCGAACCTTTTTCAATGTAGACACCTGGTTTAAATGTGATCACAGAGTACATAATTGGGTACTTGTATCCAGGATATCCAGTTGCTAACATGTGCTTTAAGGTCTACGGCTATATCAGTATGAAGCAGGGGCTAACCTTTCTACAAGACTTGAAACTCGGCCATTACATGAAGATCCCCCCAAGAGCAATGTTCATGGCTCAGGTTAGCCTATCTCTTCATCTCATAAATTTGTTAATTAAACATGGGAGACAATTTTCAGTAATGTCTTTTGTGTCCTACTCTTTATAAACAAGACTTTTTTAGATGTAACAAGAAGTACATTCTTTTTTCCAAGGAAGACGTTCACTACTAAGGGTATGTTTGGATCCCAGAAAATGCTATGAAATGGTAAAAATGCTAATAATTTGTTTTATTTTGTTAGGAGAAATATTACTCCGTTTTGATCTTTTTGTTTGCATAATAAGTTATCAATTTTAAGTCTTATATACTCCCTCCGTTCCTATTAAAACTTCCAACTTTCTTTTTTCGTCCGTTCCAATTAAAACTTCTACTTTCCCTTTTTAGTAAAGAATTTGTGGTTCACAACATTTCTTACACATTTCTCTCTCTTCTGCACAACTCTGCACCACACAATACCCATTATCTTAAATTGTGTGCCAAACCTATTTGGAAGATAAAATAGGAACGGAGGGAGTAATACAGAGTAGAAGAATTGAAAACACAGAATAATACAAAATATTGATTCAAATTTATTCTCTCCCACATTTTCTTGCCTTCAAAGTTTCTGCCATATTTTTCGTTCTCTGGCGTTTTCCTCAGTTCCAAACAGACCCTATGAGTCATTTTGTGGAGTAACACTGTCTTTGCAATTAGAAACAGGACACCATACTAAAGAGATTCACTCGTTTCTCTGAATATGTAAACCCAGGTGGTTGGGACCTTAGTATCCGCATTTGTGCATCTCGGGACAGCTTGGTGGCTAATGGAAACTGTTCCATTCATATGTGACCGGGCACTACTTCCCACGGGCAGCCCGTGGACTTGTCCGAGTGACCATGTATTTTATGATGCCTCAGTGATCTGGGGTTTGATTGGACCGCGTCGAGTCTTTGGAGACCTGGGGTACTACTCCGCCATTAATTGGTCTTTCTTGATAGGTGCCATTGCTCCTGTCTTGGTGTGGTTGGCAAGCAAGGCCTTCCCTGACCAGCATTGGATTAGGCTGATCATAGTGCCTGTGCTACTTAGTGGAACCATGAATATGCCCCCGGCAACTGCTGTCAACTACAACAGTTGGATAATCATTGCTTTCGTTTCTGGTTTCGTGGCATATAGATACTATCGGAACTGGTGGAGCCGCCACAATTATGTGCTATCAGGCGCGTTGGACGCTGGGTTGGCCTTCATGGGAGTGTTGCTATACCTGACCTTGGAAATGGAACATATCCACCTGAACTGGTGGGGAAGCAATGTAGATGGGTGCCCTTTGGCTTCTTGCCCAACTGCTGAAGGCATTTCGGTTGATGGCTGCCCCCTGTTTTGAGCTGAAGTAGCTCTTGTGCAGCCGTTGATCATTTGTGAATTGTGAGGTACATGATTGTATTGCATTTTTACTACAAATGAACAAAAATACTTTATATTCCTTTGGAACTCATATGTTTATTGTAGGAATGATCTTGTCAATCCTATCGCTTTGCCTAATTATACTAAGGGTCTACCCTGTATCTTAACCAAAATACCATATTATAATATTCACATGACATCGGATCATCATAGAAACTCATACACACGATCAGAATCTCCCTGTTTCGTATCATTGTTATCAAGGCTACCACGAGACTTGTTCAATGCTCTCTAATCAACTTTTCCATTAAATTAACCTGTATAATTCCCTGGCACCATGCTGTCAAGCTGACGCCCCTCTTAGAGGGGCTGATTCGTCAAATACATTCGTCAAATACATTGACGCCCCTATTAGAAAAGTTATAATTGCAAAGAACAAGCTTGTGAATCCTTGTTACAAAATCTGGGTTCCCCAACCATTTTTAATCAACAAGAAAGTAACAAGAATACAAATCATAACTACAATTTTAATTGATAGATTCTCAACCAAAAGATGAAAAAGAAAGTTACCATACTTGTCACTGCGGTAAGTCGAGTCGTGGTGCCAGCCCACTGCCATATCGCCTAGGCGATAAGGCACCCACCTAGGCGGCAATTAGGTGACTAGTCGCCTATATATGTATAGTATTATATATATGTGTATATATATATAATATTATACGCATATACATGTAGGGGTGGACTCGGGCCGGGTGGCCCGGCCCGGGACAGGTACTGTTCCGGCCTGGCCCGGTCAGTGACCGGTCCGGGTAGGCCCGACTTGTGGGTTTTCCGGTCCGGGCTTGGGTAACCCAAAACAAGGCCCAGCCCGGCCAGGACCGGGCCCGATTCGGGCCGAAAATGATTTTTTTTTCAATTTTTTTTAAATTTTCAGGCTGGGCTGGGTATTTTGTGCCATTTGGGGTGGTTTGGGGGGTTGGGGTGGGAGGGGGTTAATTATGAAGAGGAAAAAAAATTGATAATGGGCCCGGCCCGGACCCGGACCGGACCCGGTGGGTACCCGGGTCGGTCCCAGGCCCATCTGTTCAGAACCGATGGCCCGGCCCGAGTCCAAGTCTATATACATGTGGTCTCCTGTGAAGGTACTGAGTTGTTGAGTCATCCTTTTTTGAAGGAGTCATTAGTTCATTATATTATAAATTTATTTTGTTATGACTTGCGTCGTATAAAATAGTAAAAACCTAATAAACAAGTACTCCTGTACCTAAAAAGCTAATAACCTAATAACCTGAGTACCTGTAGTTTTTATTACTAGTTTATTAGGTTATTAGGTTTTTACTATTTTATAAGTCATAACAAAATAAATTAATAATATAATGAACTAATGACTCCTTTAAAAAAGGATGACTCAACAACTCAGTAACTTCACAGGAGACCACATATATATACATTACTACTCAACTTAATTAAAAATATTAAAAAACTTATTCAACTAGATAGACGATGAGACGCGAAGAAAGCAGGGATCTGGGAAGTCATCTGTTTCAGTGAATGACAGTGAAGTCGTCTTCTTCCTGGAGTTGTTGTGGTTCGTCTGCTTCCTGCGGAAAGTCTTCTACTGCGACTTGGATGATGGACAACGAATACGTCAAATAGTTCGTAAGTTTATTACCGAGTAGATTATTTTGGGGCTTTGGAGTTTGGGCTTTATTGTTAATTAAATAAAAAGCCTAAATCTATTTTATTTCTTGGGAATCTGGGTTTGCAGCTGTTAGACATGGGAAAAAGGCGCTGACTTGTCGCCATCATCGCGCCTGGACGATGACTGGACGACGACTGGTGCGCCTTCTCTTCTTCCGGCGAGGCAAGGTAGTTTAGCGAGCAATCCCTAGTGCCAAGACGCCTAGTCGGCGCCTAGACGACGACGCAGCGGCAAGCATAACTTTTAAATCGATTCAACCAACAACGGTTAAAGTTCTAAGATGAAAGCATACTCTTTCCCCCTCTCTCCTCTGCAATATTATTTGTATAAATTGGAAGTCTTATGAATTGATTCTCTCATCCTGCAGATGGTGACCTTTCTTTTCCTTTGTGTTGTGTTTTATTCTTCTTTTTGGTTGCTAGTTCTGTTCTAAGATGATTAATTGTTGAAAAGTTTGGGAATTAATAGGCTAAATTGGAATTAATATTATTTATCTACTTCATACAAAATCTTGTTAAGAAATTTCTACTCATACAACTACAAAACATTTAGAGCCCATTTGGTAATACCAAAATCGGTCGAATCACTTGAGTTTTGTGAAACTTATGAAGTTCTGGCAGAATTAGTTGGATTGATAGTGTCGATATATGCGAAAATCATATTTAAAGTATATTTTACTAATAAGATAAAGATAAAATTATATAAAAAGTAGCTAAAATGACATTATGTAGCAACTTCAATCAAAATAGCAAGAAAAATGTACCTTCACAATTCAGCTCGCGAAATAAAGAGTGACGTGTTTGGTGAAAAAGTTTACTGATAAGACATAAGCCTAATACGTCGAAAAACATGTTTACTAAACGACGAGCTCTTAGATCATTCGTATCAATACATCAATAAAGATATGAAAAATTCTAGAATGCATATCCTCGGGTAGTGGTGGACTCGAGCCGGGCCTAGGCCTGGTCGAGCCTCCGGTTTGTAAATGATGGGCCCGGGGCGGGATCGGCCCGAGGTAAGGGCGGTTCCGGTTCGGGCTGGGCCACCCGCCCGGGTCACGGGTCGGGCCACCCGCCGGACCGGGTCGGGTCGGGTAAATCCAAATGTTTTACTTATTTATTCTTTATAGTTTTATACAAGTATTAAAAACAAACTTCAAGTGCATTTATTTGAAATGAAATAGGAACTACATTTGACAATTGAGAAAAAAATACAATATGAAATACATTTTGTAATCAATCAGAATCTCCGGCATAGGTAAAGCCACCATCGGTTGATTCATCCATAAAGTTTTGGGACGAGGTGATGCCAATTTCTTGAGCTCTACGGGCTGCCTTCAACCAATCATGGTAGCATATAAGCGTCTCAAAAGATTCTGCGCTCAACCTCATTCTAGATTGCATTAGGACATTGCCGACCGAACTAAATTCTTGTTCCACGACAACTCTTGAAACTGACATTGATAGCACTTGCTTAGCCATCTTTGTTAAAACCGGGAACATTCTTTCTTTTCCCTTCCACCAATTTGGAACGTCAAATGCATCATCTTCTTCAAAATCAACATCATATGTTAAATACAAAGGAATCTCATTAATTGTCCTTTGTTGAGTAGCGGGAGTTGTTTTAGTTTTTTTAATAAGATTGACAAATGTAGATTTCAAAATTGATTTTCCTTTAGATGAAGATGTTTGTGTCGGGGGAGGGGGCGCGTTGCCATATTGCGCATGAAACTCATTAAATAATGCATAAAATATATCACTAACCTCGTTGTATTCTTTTTTCGGATCAATTGCGTTATCGTTATACATTGGAAGAGGACCATAAAAAGTGGTATAATAATAGTTCAAACATTCTTCTAAAGGACCAAGTCTAAAACGAGGATCGAGAACAAATGCAATACCATAAATATGCGGAATATGTGCATAATATTTTAAAAACTTTTCCTTCATAAAATCAGCAAAATAACTCACACAAGCGGCATTCTCAAATTCCGCAAAAGCACCGGCGAGATTAACAGCTTCACGAATAAATTGATTTGAGGTAGGTTTATAAACATGACTAAAAGTTTCAGTTGCATTAAAAAAATATACCAAATCATTACAATTTTTTTCGCAAGTGTCGATATTAGCCGAGTTTATAATATAGTTATAATATTGTTTTAAAAAAGCAGGAAAATGTTCTTTATATCTAAGAAGAACTGTCATTAACTTATAAGTACTATTCCAACGAATAGACAAATCTTTAGGAAAAGTCACATATTTCACACGTCTTTCTATCAAATAATCATGCCATTTTTTTCTAAGTTGACCGCTACCCCAAATACGTCTAATCCACCCTTGACTACCTCCAAAGAATCTCCTAACGTTTTTAGACCATCTTGCACACATAAATTTAGAACATGACATGCACATCGTTGATGAAAAAATCTACCCATCAAAGAACTATCACCACACAATTCACGCAATCTAGGAATAGCAACAGTATTATTAGTAGCATTATCAAAACCAATAGCAAACACCTTATCATTCAAATTATACTCAATTAAAATACGCTCAATCAAAATATGTTCAGCGGTGTGACGATCATTAAATTCACGAAAAGCAAGAACACGTTTGTGCATATTCCAATCATTATCAATATAATGTGCAGTCAGACCCAAATAATGTAAATTATGATAAGTATCCTCCCGTATGTCAGAACATACAGTAACACGCCCATCAAAGTTTGCAAAATACTTTTGTAACCTTACCTTTTCCGTACCATAAAGCCTTAAAATTTCGTTCTTAACCGTTTTGCAACTATAACCTCTATATTGAGGATTTAAACAAGTTTGTGCATAATCTTTGAAAGCAAGACTTTCAGAAAACAAATAAGGCAAATTTTCTTCAACAAGTAAGTTAGTCATACCAGTCAAATTTTGTGCATCATTGTATGAGAAATTACCAAAAGGTTGTTAATTATTAGAAAACCTCGATATTTGAGTTTGCTTCCCCGTTCCGCCGTCTAATTTTGCATACTCCACCGTGTGTTTGGACTTAAGATGCCTTGCGGCGTATCCGTATCCGCCAGAAATCCCCAAGCTATGATTTTTCTTGCACCACTTGCAAATTGCGTTCCAATTCCTGGTGTTCGGGTCCTTCCACTTATCAAAATTATTACGCATTAGTTCAAATTTACTTTTTTTCATAACAGTTTGGGATGAGGCAGGCTCGTCGGCGTCGTGGCTGCCGCCACCCTCCTCCGCGTCGGCGTCGTGGCTCTCCGGAATTACTTCCTCCACATCGTCGTCCTTGAGCTCTTCTTCGTCAATGGTCCTCGGCTGATCTTGGAAAAACCGACTATTATGTCGGTGCAATTCTTGTTCTAGTTGTTCGTCGGTCATTGCATCCCCATCCCTCCTTGCGTAACCTGTATCAAAATCATCTCGGCTTTGAGTTGAAGAGCCGATATGTGATTTACCTTTGCAGGATTTCTTCCTCGCAAGCTCGTTCGTTCAGTTGCGGTCGAGGTTACCCATATCAACCGAATATCTACCACCTTCCATCTTAAAAATGTAACAAATATTAATTTATAAAAACAATTCGAACTAATAAAATAAAATTCTAACAATTCTAACTTTAATGAAATAAAATTCTAACAATTCTAACTTTAATTCGTACTAACAATTATTTTATGTACTAACAATCAAACTATTATATAAAATGTACTAATTCATACTAAAATGTACTAACAATTCGAACTAAGTAGATATAAATTGTAATATGTATGTATTTAGTAGATATAAGTAGATAATAAGCAGATAATAGGTAAAGATTAAGTAGATAAAAAATATAAGTAATATAATATATGTATTTATAAATAGATAATTAATATATAACTATATAAGTAGATAAGAAATATAAGTAATATAATATATGTATTTTTTTTAAACCCGTGATGGAAGTAAATCCACCGGAAAATAATTAATAGATAGCCGAAAATAAGTAAAGCACTCAGAATAATACTTAGAGAGATAATTGTATGTAGTGTATTCAATGTATTCAGCTTGATCGTTCTTCCAAGAGTTACAAGAATTTATAATACAAAATTGAGACATGAAATATTCGGGCAATGTGGTCGCCATGCATGAACTGACGCGCCACCATCCTCTGATTTGTAGGACTTATTGCGAGTTGACCCGTGATCTTCGAGATTTGCTGTTGGTCACGTAGCTTCTGAGAAGTAGCACCATGCATGTGCGATGGTCTAGGTGCTTGTGCACCACGCGCGTAGAGGCTAACCATGTGATGCTCAGCAGGCCATATTCAAATCACATGGTAGAGGTAAGGTTGCGTCGTGCTCAACATGTCATGCCTAAGCCTCATTGTAAAGATAAGACCACGTCATGCTCAGCGTGCCATATCTTTGTGAATGTGACTCCATGATTCTCATCCTGAGTATGTTGACCATGTATTTCCTTGGGCCTGATGTCCATGTTCATCTTGTCCATCTCATTTACGGGCTCAACCTACATTCAATCGGGCTTACCATATTGGGCTGGTATTTATGTCATCACAAGCCCCCCACTTCCCGAGCCGAGTAATAAATCGGTGAGAGGAAGTATACATCAACTACTCAAATAAAGTCATATCATGTTAAGGACGTTCATGCGGAGCGCGTCGCTTAAAGTAGTATGCCAATGATCCTCCCTTCCGTCTGTGTTGAGCATGTTACCTATAGGGTGTTACACCAAGAAATAAATAACTCGCACATGTTGATCACGTCACTCCCAAGGCGTGCAGAGCACGTCGCTCCCAAGGTGTTACACCAAATAACAAATAAGGCGTACATGCTCACCACGTCACTCCCAAGGCCTAGTGAGCACGTCGTCCCTGAGATTCACCAAACATGTCTCTCATGAGGTGTGCTGAGCATGTCACCTTTAAGACTTGCTGAGCATGTCCATCATAAATAAATTGTCCATGTTGAGCACGTCACTTAGAGTAGTGTTCATGCTGAGCGTGTCACCCAAAATAGAATATCAATAATTTTCATTTGTACATGTTGAGCATGTCATTCCAAGACATAACATCAAGAGCCTTCCATTCTTACATGTTGAGCATGTTACTTTGAAATGTTCCACTCAAGATAATTTGCCCATGTTCACCATGTCTCTCATATTATTACCAATCATTTTTCACCCAATCATTAATTTGCCCATTAATTTTATATTATTAACCCAATGTTGTTCATCTTTTAGGAACTCCAACAGTCCAACCCAGTAGGTACACCGCGGATGACATGCTGCCGCCATACCAGAGTGACTCGCCGCTGTCCCGAAAACGCTGACCGCCGTTGCTCCGGACTACTGAACGTCCATGCTGTAGAGAAACTGAACCCCGCCAATCTGAAGAAGGCCGTCGCATCTCCGGACTCCGGAGAAACAGAACCACTGGCCTCTTGAACCGCCGGAACAGCCCGACTACTCTCCTTCCCATTACTTCCCGTCACTGGACACAACCT